TCAACAGAGCTGTAACCTGTTGCTGAAATGACTCAGATAAGAGTATTACTTCAATCTAGTTCATATGCATTTCCAAAATATACTTTTAAGCATAGGAAAATATTAGGGGTTTTATTTTTTAGCTGTATTGCTAAAGATTTTTTTTTTTCCTTTTTGGAAGGGAGAGTGTGTTACACGTATCGATTACTTTTTTTAAACTGCTGAATATTTTCAGTTTTGGCATTGAACAGACTTTATCAAATTTTTTGATCTGTCCCTCCGAAGTGGTAATTGTTTTCTGCATCAGAGAGTTCCTTAAATCTCTTATATCCACTGAATTGCTGGCACAAAATCATGCTAGTGTATGGTATATAAATTGTAGGAGAGCAGCAAAGCCATTGATTTCTTGGGTTGGTTTAGCTGATTAATTGTTAGAAATTTTAAGAGCTTTGAATGAGAATGTCAGTATTCACGGTGATGTAAAAGGGTGATGGATAGTTTTCAATGGCAAAAATGGTAGTAATCTTCAGGGTCTCAGTCTGGGAGAAGTTAATGAGTTAGCCTGAAACTTTGTGATGTGTTTTTTAAGAAGATAGCACAAATGATGTTACTGATTCTCATCTTTCAGCCATAAATTGCTAGTCTGACTTCAACAGATTTACCCCTGACTGCAGTAATGCCTAGTGACCAGAATCAGATTCACTGTCTTTATGTTTTATAGTATGTTTTTAACAAGCTGTGAAAAATGATATAGTGTGGGAATGGTGGTGATTTTAGCCATCCTGTCAGTTTTAAAGTGGTGTCATTTTTCTTGCAAGCTGAGGTGGAACTGGGTTCTGACCAGTGAACACTAGATATGGTGGAAGCATTGGATGTACAAAAACTGGGATAGCTTTTTCCTTTATTACGGGTGTGCAGCTACTCACATGTACCTACCTGTCAGCTAGCTTACAGTCCTTTTACATGCTCAACATTTGTTCAGCTGTAAAAAATAGTTTGTTCATCTAGTCATTAAGCTGCTAAATCTGGAAAACACAGCCGTGTCTTTCATGGTGTGAACAACAGAGGTGGAAGTACTTGCCTAACTTTTCACATCAGTGAATCGCAAAGTGTTTAGCAGTGAACAGTTTCATGACATAGCTGCAGCCAGAGATTCCAGCTGCTCTAGAAATTTTTCTGAGAAAATTAAATTTTTTTCTTTATATGCCACAGAAATAGGAGTTTTAAGAAAAATCAAAACCTTTAATTACCATCTTGATAATAGTTTGGACTTTGTGTCACCTTGGGTAGCAGAAACTCCTCATGGATACTAGTCACAGGGATCAGAAAACTATTTTTTTTTTGGTGCTAAGATGCACAGACACTTTCCATTGGTTTTTGTGTGGCCCATAAAGTGACAGTAGCACAAGGCCTCGGCAAGGGCATGTTCCTCCTCAGCTCCCCTTGGTCTTGTATGTCTCCAGTATGTCTCAGTGAATGTCTAAACCCCCAGAGTTTCTGTAAAAGTGAGCAAACATTATTTCACATTGTTAGGCTAACAGATTAGCTCCATAAGTGTGCTTAATACATACTCATGTAGTAATGCTGTCTTTGACTTTTGGTCTTAAAATACAGTACTGAGTGTTTTCCAGTTAGAAGTTATCCATTCTGCTGTTTGTTGGTAGTTGTTCTAATAGAGCATCCCGTGTCCATCATGGGCTTGCCTTGTATACCCCTCTAATGTAAAAAGGTTCAGCTGACTTACAGCTAATAAATCACCCAGCGGAATAAATGTTGTTGGGCTAAATTGGAACCAAACTGAAAAATGATTTTATTTCTGCTTCCTAGCTTTGTTGGAAATAGTTTCCTTTCAGATTTCAGATGAATTTGTATAATATAGAGATAGCTCTTGGAAAAACAGATGCTTAAAGGAGGAGTGCCACTCGTAGAGGCCGTCAAAAGCGTGGCCAGCATGAACTCTGTGTTCAGTTCAGCTTGACAAAACAATGCATTTTCTGGGCACATTTGAGCATCACTTGACATGCCATGAGTCAGAAGTGAGTTGCAGCTGCAGATTGACTTAAGTGCAGGCTGTTGAAGAACTTCTCCCGGATGTCTTACCGAAAGTGAAAGCAGCTCCTGTTGTTGCTTTCACTGTTTGGTAAGAGAACAGCCCATGAGGGTTTGGTATCTATTAAAACAACAAAGTGCAACTGAGGATGGGTACAATCATCAAGACCTCTGTCCTGACCTTTGCACATGGCCTGTTTGCAAGATGATCAGCGTTCTTTAAATTCTCTGTTGAAATTCACTGTATACAAGGCTTTGGTGTTAGTTCCAAATAATAAATTTCCCTTAAAACAGATTAATTTCAATTTTATGGGAAATTGTAGAGTTCAAGAATTTAGTCATAGCGTAGCTAAATAGAATATTGTAAAGTAAAATGATGACAGACCACTGTTAAAAATAAATTCAAAGTAATTAATTCAGGCATCGCCTTCCCACAGGTGATTTTGTATATATGAAAATATGGTTAATTGCCTTTCTGGTCTTTGTCTGGAATCTCAACATTTTTGTTAATGATTTAATAAAAGTAATTTTGAGACCTTCTGTACATTTTAGACACTAAAAGTGAAGGCACACCCTTGCTTTTTCAGGCTTGGTGTCATCATCCTGCAGCAGTCAGGAAGGAACAGCCTTGTGGCTCACAACAACTTCTAGTTGTGATGTTTGGGGTTTTTTTCTAACGACAGAGAACTTGTTTTCTTGATGTTATTAGTTGGAATCTAGAAGTTCAGAAAATTTGGTTTTGAAACTGTTTCCTGGTTAGGGCAATTGTAAGCTTTCATAAATGCTCTCAAGTTTCTTGTTTAGACATTTCTAACTTTAGTTCATTACTACAGACTGCACAAAAGTGGTTCTTTCTTTTTACTAGTTGCCATTTTAACTTTTGAAGTTGGTTATTAAAAAAGGTGTTTGAAAAATGATTTATTGATAGTTGCATTTATTAAGGCAACTTCCAGTTTTAATTGCATACTTCAAATGCTGCTGTTCTGATGCAGAAATAACAGTTTGATTTTCTGATACTTAGGGATAGTTAATATCTATTTGCTTTTTATTTCATTTGTGTAATTGTTCATGTCCTGTAGGTTTGTTACATTGCTCACCTACTTGTTACTAGCCTCCTTGAAAGCTCTCTGAAAAACTAATTAATGTAAATGTTAAAAAGAAAGTGAAGTTCCGTTGCAAGAAGAAAGGAAGGAAAAGCATTGAAAAGGAGGTGAGAAAGGGAAAAGAAGGGAGCAATACAGCACCGTTTAAACCAAGGAATTTTAATGTAGAGCTTGTGTTGTACCTGCAAGGGGAAGGGAGATGGGGATGCCATGAGGAAGAATCGGGGAGAAGGTTATAAATGTTGGGAGACATCAAGTTTCTTTTGGGTCTGCAAGTTCCTGTAGAAGAGCAAGAAAGAGGAAGGGAAGTTTTGATGTTTATTATTTACTTCAGAACACAAGTTTCTTCTTCTGCAATACCCTGATGAATGCTGGGGACTGGGATGAGGCTGAGGATCAGGCTAGTATGCAATTGTTTCCTTATGCCTAGCTGGACTAGACACTAAGCATTGCAGGGGTGGGGTGGAAATTCACTATTGTCAATCTTGTATCCTTCTGCAGTCAGTGCATTAAATAAGAATTAAATAAGAGATGGTGAGTGAGGCGTTAGTCATTTAAAAGAAGGAGGTGGGTGCCTTCTGCAAGAGTCTTGCAAGGTCTTTTGGTAGTTTCAGGCATGCCTCAACTGTTACTTTAAAAGGACAAAATTAGAAGATAAATGTTAGAGAGACTTCACGAAAAAACACTCCCCTGCAAACCAAGGCTCATCTAACCATTTTCTCTTGAAGTGCACTAGTTTTGAACGATTCATTGCTGTGGAAGTGATGAGCATGTCAGTATGCAGTTTGGCCAGCATTGTACATGTTGCAGCAAAGGTTAATATGCTATGGCTCAAAGTTGTCATTCTGGAATAACAAGAATAAGCCGTATGTTAAAATGCCCTTATTTTGTGGTTTTCATCGTGATTTAGATTTATTACTACCTTAAAAAGAAAACGTGGGTAGTAGGAAGAGAAACAACAGAAGTTTCTTGTTGAAGTGGTATAGCACTTAGTACACATGTGGTCTCTGAGAGGTTTCTATCATGCTGCTTTTTTTTCCTTGCAGAAGACCCATAATCGCATAATAAAATATTAATACCACTGGTCTTAAAAGATTTAGCTCCTAGCATGAGAATATGTAACCATGGTGCTCAGTGTGTATGATACATGAAGCTCCTGAATGTACTGTGACTGTATAATAGACACAGTTGTTCTAGTCTTAAAATTAAATGTGGTGTTCCAAGCATGCACTGTAATTAGATGCTACTTATAGAGAGATGTGTTAAAAACTATTTTGCAAAAGCTTGTACATGCTAAAAGATATAATTTCTCTTCTTTGTCATTTGGGACAGAAATGTGGTTACCATTCATGCAGTCCAGAGACTTACTTGCATTCTGTTTTGGTTTGGTTTTTTAAATTTTTTATGATACAGTTTATACAAATAACTGCTCTAAGAATCTTACCTTTGTCCTGGCATACAGGCAAACTAAGAAGGCCTCTACTACAAATGAAGAGCTACAGCTGTGCTTAATATCTTTATGATCCCCTCCTCGACACCCCCCCCCCCCCCCCCCCCCCCCCCCCCCTCCCCTCTCTA